GGATTTCTGTTGATCATCTGCTGAAATTATACTAAATATTTTAGAACTCCTGAAGTAATTTCCAGTAAAAACTCCTAGCAAGAGTGAGAATACAGGAAGGTGAAGTATTAAAAGTCAACAGCATTCTTGGTTTCACAAATAAAGATAAAATTTCTGAGCTAAAAATTGTCACTTTGCAAAAAAACATTGTTAAGTCAAAGTTCAAGTACTGTATGCAGTTTTTATATGTCCCTTTATAAAAGTAAATCAGGAGAATAAAAAGACTATAGCTGAATCTCACTATTTTTGCCTAAATGCAAGTTGTGTCAGGTTTTTGGAGGATTTATTGTCGTATAGCCTGGCAAGTTTTCTCACTGTATCTTACTGACTTGCCTCACTGACTACCTACCCTGCCCCACAGGATCCATCTCATTCAATTCTCATCCCACCATATCACGTGCCATTTCTAGAACAACTTTGCACTGCCAAACAATCCTTGAACTGTTGGCACAATTTTTAAAAATTGCTCCCAGAAAAGCTCTGTCAGTATTAATGTACACTGTACAGTTCCTGACATTTGTCCCAGAAATACTGGATAAAGGAAATTTGGTGCCTCCTTCTGTGGGCAGGGACTGGATGAGGTTGCATTCAAGCAAGATGTCCACCAGGATCAGCAGAAGAGGCACTACACCAGATCAGGTCAGAGGCTGCCAGTTAGGTCAGTGCAGTTTCAGCCTTCTGGAGAAATGCGCAGCAATGTATGAAGACTGAGTAAAAGCAAAGTACTGAGTATGCTGGAAATCTGAAACACAGAATGATGGAGAAACTCAGCAGGTCTGACAGTATTTGTGAAGTGAGAAACAGTTATTATTTTGAGTCTGGTATGAATCTTGAGTTCTGCACTCTGCCAGCATAAGTACCACCATTTTCTCACCTTTTACCTCAGGCTCATCCTTTATTTGCTACTGCACCAACCTCCCACTAAGGCTCATTTTCTACCACTCTCACTACTGCCTGAAACATCTTCCTTCACTTGCTGTCACCAATCCCTGACACCATGAACCTTGCATGCCCTCTGTGCTGCCTATTCATTTGCTTGGGACACCATCACCTGCACCAAAAGTAACAGCTGTGCCACCCACCTTCAGCACTCTCAATATCTGTCTCTCTCTTTCATTCCAGATGAAAATAGCCCACAATAGGGCAGAAAGAGTCAAGGTTGGTAGTGGGCTGCCTGACATATGACTCTCCATCTCTTATTTGGAGAGCATTCTGTCTTTAATTGTGCAAAGCTGCTGAATGACTGTGTCCATTACCTTGGACTGATAACGGAGGCTGCCCTTGATTTACTGTGCTGGGAACCCCTAACTGAAGATCATTTTCTCCTTTAACTTGACTGAGGACATGGCAAACTTCCTGGTTTTTATGTCTGTGTTAAATGGCATGGCAATATTGCAGAACTGTGAGCTTGGTATCTCTGTCTAAGATGACAAATGGCACAACGGCAAGGCGATGGTAGGCTTCGAGTGAGTGAGTACTATGATAACAAGCAAAGAGGCTGGAGATTCAGCCTGGTCCAGTCTGAGTTGGGTGCATGTCCTTAAGTACAAACTGTCCTTGCTGCAGCATTACAATGCTAGTTATTGATGCAGCCTAAGGCGTAGTATTGAAATATAGATGTCAGGTGCCAATGTCTACAGGCATGGGTGCATGTGAATGGTGCCCATATATCATGTCTGCGATATTAGTGCTCAATGTCCAACACCGGCCCCGAGCAAGTAATGAGATGAAATTGCTAGTTATCAGCTCTGACTTTCATGTCAAGAATTTTCAAATTTGAGCTTGTTCAACATATTTGGCAAAATAGGAAACTGAATATTAATGAGGTGAGCTGCAAGATTAATAAGATGTTCCACAAGCTATAATTCCACTTAATTGGCAACTTGTCATTACTTAGGTGAGAAACTCACTTCGCCACCTAGCAAATATACAAAGGACGCAGCGAGTTGCTCCCACATGTTTCCGTCATGAATTTCACCATAACTCACATTGGTCAGGTCCGCATAA